AGGAGCTTTATTTCCTTTCAGCTGGGATATCGCTTGGGATACCTCATCTGGGGAGATCTCTGCAGCTAGTGTCTCTGATTCCGCCTGAGTTAACTTGGATAGTCCTAGATTTGCAAAAAATCTTTTTGTCACAGTCTCATCCCGTAATGTCCGGTTTTCTGATTCCGGGGAGTGGTTATATAGGGATTTGTAGAAGTCTGTAAAGACCTCCGCTATATCCCAGGGAGTAGTTTTGATTGACCCGTCCTTATGTCGTATAGAGGTGATGTGGCCCCCGCATTGTCTAGGTCTCAGGACTCTGGCTAGGAGTGTATCCATTTTGTTCGCATGTTCATAAAAATTCCTCTTGGACCACGTAAGGGCTTTGGCCATATCGTCGAGGAGAAGCGTGCGTATGGCAGGCCGGACTGCTCTGATGTTGTTGTTCTGCCCATTTAAGATCGGCCAGGAGGCCTTCTAGTTTTTGGAATTTCCTTTTCTTTTTAGCTGTAGCCAGTTTTATTAGCGTGCCTCGTATTACTGTGTGCCACCCAAACCATTTCTAATGTCAAGTCAGGGGTGGTTTCTTTCTAACCTGTTCCGTTATGCTCTGGTCTGGTAGCAGGGAAGGGTTTAGTCTCCATGCCCATGCGGCCGCTGCGCTCAGGTTCCCCAGTGTCAGGGATATGTCAGCATGGTCAGACCAGGTTATAGACCCGATATCCGACCCTGTTACCAATGGTAAGCTCCTGTTGTTCACCAAGAAGAAGTCTATTCTGGAATAATTTCCATGAGGGGAGGAAAAAAAGGTGTAGTCCCTTACGCTTGGATGATGTGCCCTCCAGACGTCCACCAACCCCGTCTCCGTCACGAAGCCATGTAGCAGTTTATCTTGCCCTCCCCTGCCTTGCGATCTTTGTGACCCCCTATGAGCACTTCTGTCAGCTGCTGGGCTTGGTGTAACGTTAAAGTCGCCCCCAACTATAATCATCCCGTGGTGAAGGGCATGAATTTTAGTCTGAAGTGTGTCCCAGCTATTTCGTATGGGGATCGCCACGCCATTGCATTTGAGTTCTAGCTTCATATGTAGAGATGTATGTGTGGTCTTTAAGTTTAAAATTCGCTTTTTTCACTAAATGTGTCTCTTGAACGAAAGCCACATCGTCCTTCATTCTCTTCAGTTCTCTAAACAATAGGCGTCTTTTGGTCGGGGAGTTTAGGCCTTTGGCATTTAGTGAGGTTAGTTTTACGGCCATGTATCTGGTCTGTTCAAAACGCCATTGTATACGCCCACCCCTGCTACCTCCCAGCCACCCTCCAACCCGTCCAACCCTCTCCCACCCAGAGGAAACAGGAAACTAGGGGAACAGAAAAGAAAAGTATTAGAAAAAGAGAAAGTAGAATGTGGTGCGTCTCTTGTGCGCCACCAACAGTGCTTTGTCTTATCCATTGCCAGACTTATGCAGGGGTCAGATTCCTGCATCTCGGTCGCGTCCAGCACCAAAACGAAATGCGGACCATGAGCCCATTCATCCTACACGCTATTAGCCTTTACTGATAAAGATTAAGCATTTAGCAAGGTGTAAATATCTCCTACATGTGACCTGATAGACCTCGCCCTGGTTGCAGCTGGTTTTCAGACATCAAACACAGCAACTAAATACAATACAATAACCATACATTATAACCAAAACAAAACTTAAGGAGTGGACCTCGCCCTCAATGCCTAAAGCACTGATCACCGAGGGTCCCTACTTGTTCCTATACCTGCCTCCGCCCTCTCCGGCCGTGCAGGATTTCTACCTGCCCCCTACTGGGCAAAGGGGGGAGGCCTGGGGGGGGAGGGGAATATCCCGTATAAAGAAGATCTAGCTGGGTGTTCACCATTTTGCAACATTAGCCCATATGGGCCTGTGGAGAGGCCCTACGTCTGTTCACAGCTGGGTCTACTGCGGTGAAATCACCAGCTCACCGGTGCCCTTGTGCTGCTAGTCATGTGTTTTTTATTTTTTTATTTTTATTATAAATTTATAAATAGGAGGGTGGGGGGGGTAGTGTTATTGTTTGATATCCAGTAAGATTGGGGGGTGATCAATATGCGATGTCTATCTTTCCCCACTGTACAAGCTATGCTGAGGTTATCCCCAGCCACAACCAAAAACATACACTTTTCGTCTCCCACTTTACCCCCTGTTTGCTGAAAGCAGCTGTACATACACCATGTGTCCGAATGGGCCTGTGAGGCCGGTGGCAGTCCCAATTGAGTCCCTTTTATGACCCTTCCTGGTCTGCTTGAAAAGAGTCCCTTACTTCCAGGTGGTGTGACTACCAAAATCCTCCGATGTGCAGTGGGTATAGGTGGGTACCCAGCGATCTCGCAACCGCCCGTATGCCAAGTGTGAACAGACCCGAGCCTCATCGTTTACAGCTCTATGCCCCTGAGCCCATCGCCCCCCACCCCAACTTTTGTGCTGAACTCCCCCACTGATAATGCCAGCTAGGGGAGCATTTAGCAAGGTGTAAATATCTCCTACATGTGACCTGATAGACCTCGCCCTGGTTGCAGCTGGTTTTCAGACATCAAACACAGCAACTAAATACAATACAATAACCATACATTATAACCGGTTGGTAATGTCTCCAGTTCTTGGGGAGCCGCCCGAGCTGTTGGTAGGACGCCGTGGGTGTTTACTCCTAGGGCTCCAAGGAAGCTCCCTGGGTCTCCATTGGGCGTCAGGACATGGACCTTACCCCCTGGAATGCCATCAGCCGATAGGGGAATCCCCAGGCGTACTGAATATTTGCGCCACGTAGAGCATCCGTAATGGGACGCCATTCTCTTCTTCTCTGGAGGGTGCTAGGTGATAGGTCCTGGTACAAGTGGATTTCTGCTCCTCCATGCTGTAGCTTGCAGTCCCTGCTCTTCCACATCAGGGCCTCCTTAGTTTAGTAATATAGGAAGTATACAATAATATCTCTTGGTTAGTTAGCATCTAATCTTCTGGCACGGAGGACTCTATGCACCCTTCCTATGTGCCATTGTTCAGCCAGTATGTCCGGCAGAAGGGGCTTGAATAGTTCCAGTAGGAGAATTGGCACGGAACCTTCTCTTTCCCCCTCCAGTAAGCCCCTCACTCGGAGGTTGTTACTTCTTGAACAATTAGCCATGTCTTCTAACGCCAGTTCAGCTTCTGTCATGCGGGCTGTCAGCTCATTCACATGATCGATTGCCTTGTTGTGGGCTCTCGTCATGCTTTCCAGCCGCTCCTCGAGTCTGGCGGTGTGCACACCCAGAGCAGAGATTTCGGCTTGCAGGACCGTTGTTGATCTCTCTATTTCACCGGCCAGGTAAGTTTGTACTTCGGCGAGCCTTGTCAGGATTTGCGCCGTGTCACCCGACCAGGGCTCTCCACCCACCACTCCACATGGTGAGGAGGGTTGCGATGCAAGACCTTGTCCAGCGCCATCTTGGGGCTCCACGGACCCGTTTTTCTGTGTGGTCAGCATGTCAAGGACCAAGGTGCCCGTCTCGGAGCCCTTCTTGGGCTGCTTCTTAAGGTTTCTTTTGTCCATGTCTGGTGTCTTTGCAGCAATTTTTGTGCTATCGTTGGCTATTTTTAGCGTGTTAGGACCAGTGCTCTACTCTGCTGCGTCCAGCTCGTTCCCTGGTAAGGCCACGCCCCCCTTTATTTTTATTTTAACACTTTTTTATTGTGAATGTTAAATACAACACATAAGTCAGGCATAATTTAAGGACAGATACGGAGTAGAGGTTAGTTTTTTGACCCACTTATCCCACCCCACAGACACTTCTTTGACTTGTGTTGTCATGTCACATATGTCTTTATATTTATCTTTTTTTTAAATTCTTTATTTATAGTTTTTCAAATTTTGGTTCATCAGATATAAGGATTACAGAATAAAGAAAAGGAAGTGGGTACATATCAGGAAAGGTATAATCTCTTTGAAATAATAAAACAAAGCATATCTCTTGATTGTACATCATAAAACATAGGTGCAGGTAGTATAAACATCAAGATATACCAATGTTACATATGGAGTTGAGTACAAAAAGGTAGATTGATTGCACCATGACTGCGGTGAGCCTCCTGATGTAAAGGAACAAAGAAAATAAGGAAATAAATGAAAATGGATTGTATAATAAAGGAAGGGAAGAGGAGTTACATCTTCACAAAGTATATTTATCTTTTAATGTTTGTATGTTTTATATTGAAAATAAAAATATTACTAAAAAATATTATTAAAAAAATATTATTAAAACAAAAATTAAAAATAATTAAGTAAAGCAACATACAGATAGACAGACTGACAAACAAAGGGACAGATAAAAATACAGATTATATAGATAAAAATAAATAAATTGCTAAACTTGTGTATTTGTTCATTCATGATTCATCTGAAATCACAAACTCTGAATCACCATATAGATGAATTATGAAGCAAACGATACAGGCATAATATTTATGTTGTGTATATATGTTGCAATGCATTAACTTGCTCATTTTTGCACCATTACAGTTAGTCCAAATAGTTTTTCCAGAAACAATTGCCCGGTTGCATTTGCCGAATCAAAACGTCACATGGATGAAACCTAAATCACCCGAAACAAAAAAATTCTAATGAGTATATTCAGATGAACCAAATATTTGTGTCATGCACAAGTCTACTGAAATATATAAACATAAAGATAAAAGTGACTGAATATATAATTGGTGAGATAGATAGATAGATAGATAGATAGATAGATAGATAGACTAATGACTGTCAGCTACTATAGAATGCCATCTTCACTTAGTATTAGCAGAGCTCCTAAAAGTAAATAGGGCAATGTCACTAGGTCTTTGAAGACCAGATAATGATGATAGTGTTCCCACTGTATACCACTTCTTTAAAGGAAAACAGTATGTCTAAAAATTTATATTTTTTTCTTTTTGGTCGCCACAACAGCGTATTCCAAGAGTCAAAACAGTGGCATGAGAGTTCGCACAATTTTATGTTTTTTACGCATGCTTAACTAGACAGATTGGTGAAGTAAGATTAACTAGAGTGCCATGACTAACGTTTCGTTTCTGATTCTGATGTTTGCGGGCCCGCTTAGGGCCTCTTCTTTTTTGGCGCCATTTTTGGGCTCTGCTTGCAGGAGTGACTGTGTGTCTGCCTTGGGAGCATGTCAGTTGCGCTTTGGGTAACTGTTTAGCTTGTTTGTGTGCCGCATTTTGCTGCTCTCTGTCTGCTATCGTTTTCCAGAATTTGTTGAAAATGTCATCCAGCTTGGCCCTGCAGTCTGGCAGTTCTGCGTGGCAAGCACCCGTGGCAGCGGCCATTTTGCAAGGCCGCATTTTGCCTCGCTGCTCGCCTAGTTCCCTCTCTGGGGTCTCTGCAGGTGTGCTTCATCTCAGGGTTGGACCAGGATAATCCCCACCGGTCCGGGGGGGGAGCAGGGTGTCAGTGGGTCTGGTCCTCCGGTGCAGTGACGGTGAGAGCGGCCGTCTCTCCCCATCTCCATCGCCCTCAGGCCACGACTAGCTTTCTTGGGCCCCCGATCTCCATAGCGCTCGGGTGAGGTATCAGGCATATCGCCGGGTCTCACGTAGTTCAGGTAGTATTCCCCGGTTTATTATTTGTCTTGAGTTTGGCGAGTATGGCTTGGAAATTGGCCCGCAGAGCGGGAGCTCAGCTTTCATGTATCTGTTCAGCTTGCTGGCTTGGCCCCGCCCCCCTTAGAATGGATTTTTATATATAAAATTAAGCAAAAAATGTTTTTATTAAAATTTGCACAAATATTTCCTTAATCCTAAAAATGTACCTCTGATTAACTACAGAACTGGTCATTTCTGCTAAACAAAAATAGATTCACCCTCTTTTTGCCCATCATTAGTTTCTTATTGATGCTGATCATTGTCTTCTCAAATATTGTTCAGATACAAGCAAATCTCCATTCCAAAGCTTCTCATGATGGGTGCCTTTACTGAGATTTAAGAAACTTGTCTAAAAGAAAACATACTTAGTAGTTGGCTTTGGAACCATGTGAGTTGTAGTTTTGCAATATTCTTTATTTTCATTCATATTCATATTCATTGTGTTTTCTGTTTTAAACAGTTACTCTGCAGTTATTTGCTGTAAACAGCTGTGGATTGCTTTAACATAACACCGCGTCATGTTTCTACTGTATGTAGTTTGCTTCTTATATAGAGCGATGCTTGGCAAAGTATCTGCAGAAAATCCGGTCTTTGGAACTGAGTAATGCAACTTATTTTATGTAGAACATTGGGTTTATTAACAAAAACAACCATCGTTCTCTGGGATATCATAGCCGTGTCATATTTTTGAAACGACCAATCCCAATACCACACAAGATAATCAGATTTAATTCTGGTAAATCCATTCAAATGACTGGAGGTCAAATTGTTCCACTGAGATTTGAATGTATAAGGTTAGAGTTCAGCCTTCCTATTGATTGATTAAATGAGCCTAAGGGAGTGATCCAATAGATATGGGATAAAGCTTTAATTTAGCTTGATCTAATGCAGCTTTTATATTTGGAAATACAAAAGTCGAGGTACAACGCATCTGTTGTTTTCTTGCGATCTAAACCAGAGTAAAGATTTAAAACACTAAGCTGATAATACGTGTATCTGTCTCCCTGTTGGAATAAGCTCGATCTGATCCCGATGCAAATTCCAATATAAGAGTAATTGTTAGTGTTTTTTTTGTAAGTGATAATTTTTGGAAATCAATTAAATAAATCCATTGCTTTTTGTTTCTTTTGAGCCCATGTGAGATTAAGTTACTCTTGTGTTTTTAAATGTTGACCTGTCGAATAACCAAATTATGCTTCAGCTTCAAATCGTGGACTGATGACCAGATATTCTACATTATACTACCAACACTGTGTTTGACTGTTGGTATGGTATTTTATATTAGAATTCTGTATTTGCTTTATGCCAGCCACAACAGGACCTGCTTGCACCAAAAAGTTTCACTTTTGACTCATCTGTCCACAGGGTGTTATTTCAAAAAGGCTTGAAGGTCATTAGTGTACTTTTTTGAAATGTTAGTTGGGCAATTACCAACAGTACTCATGGTTAGCCCAGCACATTGGGAAATATTTGGGGAATACTTCCACAATAGCCTTATCTCTTATATAAGAGAGTAGCAGCTTTACCTCTTATTCATTATATATTTTTTTTCTACATTCTCATTGTTATTTATTAGCTGGCTATGCATTAAAAGAGTAATGCAAGGGAAGTATGGAGAGCAGTATGTGCCAAGAAAGACCGGGAATGCTGCCGCTGCCATGCTACTACATCAAAAGGTAAGATTGCAATGTTTACAGAAATCTACAACGGGAAGGAGGGCTGGGGAAATTAGTGATTGTTAAAGAGGTTTAGGAAAATGTTGGGTCTTGGTATGAACATTTTAAAAACGAGGAGGCATTGAAAATTACGTGACTACTGAAATCTACTCTGAAAATGTGCATAGCTGTACAAAATACTAAAGAAACTGTAAAAGTAGGAGCTGCGGAGTGAGGGTAAGGAGGAGGGATGTAATGAATGGAGATGGAATAAAGGGGGCAGCAGGGGGTAAAATAATTGATGAGTTAAAGGGAGACTGCAGTGGTTAAATATTGACTGATGGGTTAATGAGGTCAGCAGGGTTTAAGTATTGAATGGTGGGGTGAAGGAGTCTGCGGTAGCTAAGTATTGACTGATGGCATAAAGAGGGGATTCTAGGGATAAGTATTGTGTATAGTTTTCTATGTGTGTAAGGTTGCCTATGTGTTCTCTGGGATTGTTTCTATTTTAGATTGTCAGCTCATTTGGGCAGATTTCTCTTAAACTACTATTCCCGTATGTCAAACGTGTTTTGTCAGAATTTATTGTTTGTCTTGGTTTATCTATTTAACAGCGCTGCAGAATATGTTGAAATCATATGAGAAATTGTGAATGTAATCTGTGCATCAAAGCACATATATGTGAACAACTATCGTTCATGTGCTTAACTATGCGTGTGTTTAAATATTCCTGTTTGTATGAGTTTGTCTGTTTACAGGTTTCTGCACATGTGTGTCTCTCTTTGTTTGTGAATGTCTACATGTTTGCCTCTGTCTCTGCATGGTTGTGTATGTGTGTCTAAATTTCTCTCTCCATGTATGTGCCTGCATTTGCATCTGTGTTATTTGCATCTGTGTCTCTTTAAAATCACCTGTTGTTTTACAAATTAATTCCCATTTTAGTAAATAACTCTGCATGTCTAGATGTTAAGTGAGGGGGAAACAAAAAGGTGGAGTCTTCTGAAGGTAAGATTGGGTGAAGGAGGCAGGGGGTATCAAGTTTTGCATTGGGCTCAAGACCCTAAAACATAAGTCATATTTAAATTCAGATGTGCTGGCAGTAATCTAGCCTAGTTGTGTCTGTTCTAATTTAACCCAGTGATCAATTACATTTGGCTAATGGGTTAATTTGATTAAGGAATACTTTTGGGTAAACTTTTGATCTTTATATAAGTACAATTAATATTACAAAATGTGTTTTGTGTTGGCTTGGGTTTTCTTGTCTTATAGTATATATTTTTTTGGAGATGTGAAACTATTGAGTGTTACTTTTTTATAGTTTTTTTAAATAAAACATTGATAACAGAAAAAAAACTGGTGTTTTTTTAAATTAATGTTTCTGTATGCTGAAGAGGTTATAGGTTTTTCTAACCTTTACAACTCGAGAAACACTAAAAGAACCTTTTAAGGTAAATTGTACTTAAGTAACGATGCATTAATTAGCAATTAATTTCAGTTAAAAAAAACAATAAGTGGGCGTCAAGTAACTAAACAAGGTTTATTCGGAAATCAAAGTTGAAAAGCAATTAGTAAAATTTACAGAATAGTAGAATATTTTAGTCTATATTTGGCAATTCAATTTTCTAGTCACTACAACTTTGTGTTTAGTGAATAAAGACTTAATGATTAGCCTAAAATAGATGTACACTGAAAAACCTATACATTACGCCTTCAGTGAAATCGCCATAGAGGTTTCCAGGGAAACTGTTGCAATTGGTCTCTCAGTTCTACAGCTCTGGACCTCTCTGTGATGTTCAAAATGCATTTCCCCAACACATATTTTCTTCCATCCCTTTATTTAAACATAATTAGATAACATTATTAAATCATGTAAGATTTGTAAGACGTGCCTCTTTTCTCGATTTTCTAAGACAGTGAGAGACAGGTCAATGAATAAGACATAACATAATTTTAAAAAAATGGTGCAATTTAAGTAAAATCTGACGAGGGGCGCCTATTATAACAATGTGAGTCGGATTCCGTTAAACACTAAAGTTGCTTTCCTATGACAACACAAATCATAAAAATAGAAAAATAAGGTAAACGGCCATAAAATATAAATTTTAATAATAAATGTTTGTGAAATGATTAATCTGTGATTTTTATTTATTTATTTATGTTTTAGAGAAATTGTTTTTTTCAAATGTTCTATCAGACATCAACTTACAACGTATAATCCAAAGGAAAGATAGCAAAGCAAAAAATAGAAAATATATTACCTGGACTTAGGGTGACTGTGTTTAAACTAACATCACAAGCATCATTATTATTATTTTATTATTTATATAGTGCAAGCAAATTCCGCTGCACTGTACAATGTACTACTTACTGTAGTGGTTATGGTACCAGGAGTACCCTGGTGCTGCCCATCGGTATATAGTCAAACCATTTTAGTATGCTTTGAGAACTTATCTGACATTTCCAAAAACACTAATCACAGCAGTAGAAAAACTGAGAGTTGAATCAAACAGTTCGTAAATAAGGTCTCAAATCAATACAAAGCTGAGTCAAATAAACTACAGTAGCTTAAAGGCAGTGGCATACTAAGGGGCAGGCAGGGGGGTGCCACAAGGTAGGGGGCTGCCACCAGGGCTGGCCAGGCTTGGGGAGGAGTGAGCTGTGTCGCTGCACAGGGCGCCAGGCAGCCGACACTACCCACACATGCAGGAGTACAACACGGAGAGTTGGGGCGAAGCCAAAATGGATGTAGGGCGGAGCAAAAGGCAGACTCCACTCACTGCTCTTACTGCAGCACACTGAGGGGAAGTAGGAAGGAGTCCCTGCTTCCCCAACAACTATACACAAGCAGGGCTGGCCTTAGGCCATTAGGCGCCCTGTGCGAAAAGTCTTCACGGCGCCCCATCCCCCCAGTAAAAAGCTGTATACAGTCACACTCACAGGCACAAGCAGACAGTTACACAAACAGTTACAAGCAGACAGTCAGACACACTCAGTTACAGGCATGCAGACACTCACGCATGATGATGGGCA